TATCCATTTATTTAAATTTTTTATCAAAATATAAACTAAATAAGAATTTATTTAAAATTCAAATTCACTCTTAATTAATAATAAATAAAATTATTTTTTAAAGTTTGAAACCTTCTACAAATATAAAATTCTATATATTTTACATATACATATGGGTAACATATTCATATATGGATTATAATATTCATTACAATTTACTAAAACTTAAATGGATTTGGATATTTAATATTCAGGGAATATTATTCGTATCCGTTCTGAACTTATAACGAATAATAAATCTTTTATCTAAATTCGTTAATTATTCGTTTATAACTATCTGAATCCGATATAAATGAATTGGATAATGATAGATATCCGTTTACCTTTTTTTGTGCTAAGGAGAGATATCCGTTTATTTATTATTCATTGTCATCTCTACAAAAATTTGACTCACTAATAAATGCATAGTGACAAATAAATGTATCTATTATTCAAGAATTAAATTTTGATTCTTCATTCATTCAAATCAAAAGAAAAAAATTTTGAATTCTACTTTCAATTGGCATTCATAAAAATCAAAATTTTGATTTTTTAATTGTATTTTAAAATGTTTCTTTAATGTTTACATCCAAATTAGTTGTTAATTTACTTTTTACTAAGAATGATAAAACCTAGAAGTGATAGCAAAATTTAGTTTCTAATTTATTTAATTTTTTAGCCTTAATACTTAACCTACCTTTTCTTTTTTGGCATCTGTTTGGTTTGCTTAACTAAAGAATAATTAAGAGAATGTTACATATCACTAAAAGTTGTGTCGTTTAACCTTACATATTATCACTAAATTAGATGATATTATCTTATTAATGAGCAAATATAAATCCCTAAAATAAATATACAAAAATTAATTTTTTAAAAAAATTTAATCATTAATGAAGTAGTATCATTTGATTCACTTTATTAATAAGATGACATCATTTAATATTTTGATAGTTTATAAAATCTATGCATTGATAATACATTAAATATAAATCTATACACAATATATGTTTAGGTCACTAAAATTTCCTATTAAGTTCAAGTTCCACTCTTTTTTTGGAATTTTCTAATTTTATATACTTTGTTTCTAATTATAGCTTATTCAAACTATTATTCTCAATAAAAAAAGCTAAAATTATAAAACAATCTATGAATTTTATTATTTTATTTAGATAAACACCTATACATTTATTATATCTAAGTAAGTCTTTAACCTTCAATTTACATCTAAATAAACTTTCAACTTTTAATTTGTATCTAAATTATTTTTTTTTCTTTACATAAATCAATATTTTATTTGAAATAAGAGTTTATTTAGATACAAATTAAAAAAAATAAAATAGTTCAAATATTTTTTAATATTTTAGCTTAAAAAATCACAAAATTTTTGGCTACACTTTCAATATGTATACATATGTACAAGATGAAACAATTAGAGCTCAAAATACTATCAATGAAAATACATAATTTTGCTAAATAATTCAAATTCTGAAGAGAGGAGACAGAAATAATACAGACTTTGAAAAAAAAAAAAACATATTCATTCATATTGTTGGGATCATTATATTTTCAAAGTCAATATTATTATCTAAACATATAACCCATTATACAAAAAATCATCTTAGTGTCTATGTAGACGTCACAATAATTGAATATTGGCAAGTTCATGGGTACTGCCACCATAAATAGCAATAATATAGTATTAAATATTTTTTTTATTTGAAATCTTTCAATGTTCAGTAATTATTTTAAATCTCGACTTAATTAGAGTTGAATCAGATCGAATCCTATAAAATATATTTTATAATTAAATTTTAGATATAAAACGAATTTTTCGATGTAGTGGGAGCATTCCAATTGAATTACCAAATGTGATCTAAGTAATTTCTCGATCAACAATTTCAAAACAAAAAAAAAAAAAAGAAAGGAAAGGAAATTGAATTATGTTAAATGGCCCACAATTGACGTTTGCACCAAAGGAATGAATGAGTTGATAGAAATATTTTGATTCTTTTTTTTTTTTTGGTGCTATAAAGTTTACTTTTTTGAGCGGTCGAGATGTTTGCTGGATATGTAGGTGCAAACACAGGATTTAAGCTTTGCTTTGCTCTTCTCTTCTGAATTACATAAGTCGAAAGTGTTTTATTGGCCATCCAAAAATAAAAATTAAACTTTATAAAAATATGAATAAATGTTCATACTTTTATAGACTCTCTAGCTATATACAAAGTAAAATAAATGTTCAAGCTATCAATCTAGGTTTGTAGGCCCGACCAAATTTGAGATGGTCTATACATATAATTTTAGGTCTGAATTTAATCCAATTAAATTATTTTATCAATAAATAATATAATAAATAAATGGATGGATAACGGTAGGCAGTCAAGCTTGACTTTCTAAAACAAGTTCAATCTATTCCACTCAAGGAAACTTGTATATTAGATTTTTTTTTAATTTTATATGTAATTAACAAACAATATACATCGAACATTATTTAAGTTTATAAAAATTCTAATTTACCAATAAATAATTGATTTAATTAGTTAAGACTCATTTTTTTATAAAAAATTTTTGAGATTGAATCTTATCGGTGATCATTTGTTAAAGTTATCTTGAATACATGTCCTGCAATAATTTATTTTAGATTGTCCAATATAGCATATCTTGTTTTAACTTAAGTGATTGAGTAATGTATTTATCTCTAAATTTTTATACAACCAAAAAAAATAGAAATTTTTAATTTGATTATTATTATTATTATTGAGAGAAAGAGAATTCAATTAGTAATTTTGTTTAGAAATTCAAACACCAATTTGTGAATAAAAACATAAATGTGTTTATCGTGGAGTAAAAAAATCATATCAATTGAATTTATTTTTTGCTATAAAGATAATTTGGAAAAGTCAAAGATCTAATTAAAGAATAAAGGAAAAAAAAATGAAATGAAGAAGGGGAAGAGCAAAATTGTTTAACCTCCCAATTGAGACACTACGTGCTAAATATGAAAGATATGGAAAACGTGGAGGAGTAATTAATAAATAGTCATAAATATATAACTAGATAACCTTTCTTTTGGCGCAAACATTCTTTTTTCTTTTTGAGGATAAGATTTTTGTTTTTATTCAATCTTGACCTCCGAATAACAATGATTATCCCATCAACTGTTTCATCTAACCAAATTAAATTCGAAAATAATGTCAATGAAAAGAATTTTGAGCAAAGAGCCGTCATGCAATCTTGTAGGGTCGAGAGAGCAAAAATTTCAATTGCAAAATTTATGATAAACTTCTCAAAAAGTCATAAGAAAATTTGCACTTTTTTTCTATTAAAATTAAAATTTAAAATCTTTAATTTTGAAATCGATTTTAATATCACTGTTTAGTTGATAGTCTTTATTGCTTGGATGAATATAATCCAATCTAAGAAGGATTTTTTTCATAGGTTTGTGTTTTTTTGTGGAAATAAATTAATTAAAACAAAAGAAAAAATCTTACAATACGCGTTCTCATTGTCAAAATTTTTGGATTCTTTTGAAGAGATATAGATAATCTTCATGGGATTTTTTTTTCTTAAATGAGCAAAATGAGTGAGAATGCAACTACCCCATTGATTTCTGATCAAATTTTGTCTCTTTTTAAAATAAGATAAACACTTCAAAACTTCAAAGTCAAAACAAAGATTTTGGAGAGATATATCGCCCACCATGTACAAGTAAAGAAAAATTCCTTTGACAAACTATTAGTAATGGGAAATTGAAGAATAAACAGTAACCTTGAGTGATACTAAATTAAGGGAAAATTAATGTGCATTATTATATATAAATAAGGGTCCACTACCTTGACTATGATAGACCAGCCGACATATAAAAAATGTAATATTGGTAGCATTCATGGAATAAGAATATTGCTAAAATGTTTGATTGTCTGACTATTTATAAGATATAGAATATGAACAAAGAAAATTTAAACTACACTTAGGTTTCCAATTCCTAGTCTCCCTTCCTTAGATTTCTTGAAATTCATGTATTAAGATGATTCATGGATTAATGGAACAAATTCCTACATACTCTTTTGACAAACTAATTAATTATCATGATATTTTGCTTATAACAATCATGTCATATATTGGTATATTATTGAATTTTTAATTTTAGTGATTATGGTTTAATACTCGACAATTTGAAGTACCAAAAAGAATATCATTATACTTGTTGAATCAAAATTTAAACCCTAATCAAAACTCGAACCCTTTACTTTAGGAACTCCAAGTATTAATTTGTTAAGAAATTCCCTTTAAAATAAGTAATCATTGGTTAATTATTTCAATTATTTTGGCCTAGGAAGTTACTAGCTTATCTTTGTCTATAGTTAGCCTAGCTAGAAAAAGAAATTGACTTAATAAAAGAAAGAATCAGATATGTAATCTATGATATCTTATAGTCTCTTGTATTGTTCATCTTATTTTCTTTGCTTTAGGAAGAAAATATAACCTAGATTTTCCAGTAAAAAATCACAAATATTTAGATATTTTTCATATTTAGGTTGCTTTATTAATTTCCCTTTTTGAATGGGTTAAGTTTGGTAAGAGTATATATTAATAAAGACTTTTTTTTTAATTTTGGAAAAAAAATTTGAATCCAACTTTTAAAATAACGAGACAAAAAATTTGGGATTTAATTTGATGGTTCGTCCACCTCTTTTAGAAATTAAATTTCTATATTGTTGAGGTTCAATTTCTAACAATTTTATTTTTTTTTAAATTTTTTTTAAACTTAATCGTCCTTTGTAAAAATAAAAAATCGGGAAATACATGTATTTTTTTAAGGTAATAATATTGGGATATTTTTTATTAAGTAGTCTGCTACACGTAGTGGCAAAGTGGATCGTACAGCATAATTTAAAAAGGTTAGGACTCAAATGCCCAAAGCCTATAATCTTTGGCATATATAAATTGGACCAACCGTCCTAGGTCATCCCAACTTTTTCATTTGGTTCCTCTCCCCAATTTCCTAGTTCCAACTCTTCGACATGGATAGCTCAGTTGCTCCAGTCACCATAGACAATGACCACCAAAATTCCAGCAAGGTCACCACTCAGAAAAAGTCCTCCAGAGGAGGCTGGAACGCTGCCATTTTTGTCATCTGTAAGCAATAATCTTCTTTCTATTTTTGTGGATTCAATCTTGGGTTTCTTTTTGTTGGACAATTTTTGATGTATTGTAATTGTTCATGCAGTTGTTGAGATGGCAGAGCGATTTGCTTTCTATGGTTTGGCTGGAAACCTGATCACATATCTCACAAATAATCTTGGTCAGCCAGTTGCCACTGCTGCCAAGAACGTCAATACCTGGGTTGGGGTTTCCGCAATCTTTCCTTTACTCGGAGCTTTCATTGCCGACTCATACCTTGGCCGCTTCAAGACAATCCTTGTGGCCTCTTTCATCTACTTCTTGGTAAGTTCATCTACCACTTATTACCTGTGCTACAGGCAAATAGGTTTTTAGCGACGTTATCAAAAACACCGCTAAAAGCCTTGACTATTCTCATGTCCCGAAATTTAGTGATGTTTTCTATAAAACGCTACCGTTGAGCTATATTTTCTACAGGATGAGAACCCTTTGATGGTCGTTTAAAGTAATGATGTTTCCATGTTCCAGGGAATGGTATTGTTGAGTTTATCAGTGTCAGTAATTCCTATGCATTCTCGAAAAGCTGTGTTTTTCACAGCACTTTACGTATTAGCCATAGGTGAAGGTGGGCACAAGCCCTGTGTTCAGACCTTTGCAGCTGATCAGTTCGATGAGAGCAACCCGGAAGAGAAGGCAGCCAAAAGCTCATTTTTCAACTGGTGGTACCTGGGGATTGTTACTGGGGCCTCAGTAGCCATTATTGTTGTGATTTATCTCCAGGTAAAATAAAAAACGTTACTTTCATGAATTATGACTTAAAAATTTGTGCTACAAACATTTTATTTTACCTTTTTTTTATATATTCCAGATTTTGATTACGAAAATAAAAAATTCAGTTTTTATCAACAAATTACTTTCATTTTACCTTTTTTTTTAATGTAAAGTTATTCTCATGCAGGATAATGTCGGTTGGACAGCAGGATTTGTGGTGTTAGCTGGGTCATTGGCAGTGGCATTGGCATTGTTTTTGATTGGAATCAAGAGGTACCGAAAGCAGCGTCCGACGGGAAGCCCGTTCACGACGTTGGCTCAGGTCTTCGTCGCGGCGGCAAAGAAGTGGCGCGTGAGTGAGACACACCGTGGCAGGGGTATTTGTTATGAGGATGATAGAGGTGGGAGCCACGTCCAAGGTCAAAGCAAGGGTTGCAAATTGGTCCGTACAAAGCAATTCAGGTAAGTGTCGGATCAAATATAAGTCAAAGTAATTCATTTGGTAAGTTAGTTTAATTAGCTAATATTGTTGGCTTGACGTGGTTACGAATCTACGATTACATAGAAACTGGACTCTTTAAAAAATTTTTTGCTTTCAACATTATTATTTACAAATTCAAAATTTTAAAATTTTAAAATATAAATATTTTTTAAATTTAAATATTTAATTATGTTAAAACAAATTAATAATGTGATGATTTATGATACATTGATCATGTTTAACATTTATAGTGCATTAAATATATATCTATAATAAATTTGATAATTCTCCTTTTTTTTTTTACAAATTAAATTGTAATTTAAAAAATAAAAAAGAAACAAACCTCAAATTTAAAGAATTATTTTTGGAAAATTATCTTGTTAATATTAATACAAAATTTAATTTTTTAAACAAATATTTATAGTAGATATGTTAAAGTTATAATTCAAAATATTTTAATTTTCAAGTTTAATTAAAGGATAGAATATTGAATGAAATAGAAAAAAAAAAAAAAGAGAATATCTACAAGAAGCATGGTCATTAAGTAAAGCAGTCTCAAGCTGTCCTTAATAAAATATTAAAATGTGAAAAAAAGGTGGCTTTGTTTAATTATAAACTGCTTAACTTTCAAAGTCTTCAACTGTATACGATGCAACATGCACATCACCATTAATGGCGATGATAAACATAGGGTTGGAATTTCTACTTTGATTTGTTAATTTATCTTTTGTTTTCAAGCCTTGTCAAATAAGCCAGCTAGCATTTTATATGTCAAAAACAAATAAAGAAAGGAATTAAAGTAGGGTTGGCTATAGCTAATTTATAATTGGGATCATATCCTCTAATTAATACTTTTTTTTTTAAGAAAAGATTCATCACTTTATCTAGAAGGAATGTACTTTTAATTAAAATTATGGTTAAAATATTAATATTTTAAATTAAATATGAAGATAAATAAAAGTTAATGAAAAATAATTTAAATAAATATTAATTATAATTCTAGTTAAAAAAATGCACTATGTACTTTTGAATAGCACGGAAAAAATGAATTCAGAATTTAATTCAATTAATTTATATAATTATTTTTAAAAGATAATATTCATCTGATTTAGAATTTAAATTTTAGTATTTGTAATTTTTTTATTTTTAAATTACGATTTCTTTATATAAAAAAATAAAATAATAAAAACATCTAAAGTAGTAGAAAGGATCATTTTCTTAATAATTTTCATACTGATCATGATTTTAATTAATTAATATAAAGGCAAAGGAATCGATGTATATCTATGTGAGATAATCACCACTCATTTAAATAAGATGAAATGAATGCTTTAGGTTTACTTTTTATTTTTTAATCATATTTTTTAATAAGTTTTAGCCAGTTAGTAAACCTAGATTGATGTTCACACAAATAGAATGAGATCCCATTCCCTTGCAAAATTAATTTCATCTGATCTGTTTACACAGTGTATTTATATTAAATTATTTGCCTCAAGATACCCAAAAATAATCTCCATTTTCTCTCCTAATTAGTATCTGAATTTTATTTTTGATCATTTTTTTCAATTTTTTATTTTCAAATTATTATTGGTTAAATTTTGGAAAAAATGTTTTCAAATAAATATTTCTTAAATTTTAATTCGATTAAAAGTTTAAAATTAATTAAAAAATTGGACTCAACATGTCGATTTAGATTTTATTAATTCGTGAGCCATTGTTTTAATTGGGATTTAATTATTTAATTATATCTATGTTAATTTTTAAGATTCCATTGGTAGGAATAGAGGAAACAAGAGAACAGGTATTCATCTATATAATTATATTACTTGGAATTGCAGATTTTTGGATAAGGCAATGATCATTGACAACAAAGATGCATTGAGCAAAACCAGGAACCCTTGGAGGCTTTGTTCATTGAACCAAGTTGAAGAAGTTAAGCTTGTGCTTCGCCTCATCCCCATTTGGCTTGGTTGCTTAATGTTTTCTGCTGTGATAACTCAATTACACACATTTTTCACCAAGCAAGGCAGCACAATGTTGAGATCAATAGGACCCCATTTCCAAGTTCCAGCAGCAGCACTCCAAAGTCTTGTAGGCTTCACAATCCTCATCGCAGTTCCGGTTTATGATCGGCTTTTCGTCCCTATAGCTCGAAAAATAACTGGACATACCTCAGGAATAACCATGCTACAAAGAATTGGTATTGGCTTGTTTGTGTCTATACTTAACATGGTTGTTGCAGGCATGGTAGAGACTGCAAGGGTTAACACTGCTAGAAAACATGGCCTAATTGACACCCCGAAAGCCATAGTCCCAATGAGTGTGTGGTGGTTACTTCCACAGTATGTGCTCACTGGAATTGGGGATGTGTTCACCATTGTTGGATTACAAGAATTGTTCTATGATCAAATGCCTGAAGAAATGAGAAGCATTGGAGCTGCTGCTTATATAAGTGTAGTGGGAGTTGGGAGCTTTATCAACACTGCAATTATCTCTGTTGTGCAAATGGTCACTTCAAGGCATGGGAATGTATGGTTGGGAGATAATCTCAATCGAGCACATCTTAATTACTTCTATTGGGTATTGGCAGGGTTGAGTGCTATCAATTTGTGTTTTTTTATGTGGATTGCTAATGGTTTTGTGTACAAAAACGTTGAAAATGATGAAACAAGTGTGGGGAAAGAGTTGGAAATGGAAGATTATTTGGAGGTAAAAGTGTGAAGCTGAAGGGTATTTGGCTCATCGGCACTTTTAATGCCAACAAATTTAAAATTCAAATGTCATAACTAGTAAGTTCTTATCATATATTTGGGTTACGAGATCTTTTGTAACAAAAAAAAAAAGGGTATTTGGATGTAAAAATACTAATCTATATATACTATACTAGGAAGTAAGATTCTCAAATGTTTAAATGAAAAAATAGTTGAGTTTTTATCTGTTAGGTCTCCTTTTAAATCAGCCCAATCTATACTTCTTCTTTTTTATGAATTTATGAGGATTTCCAATTTTAAAATTTTAATTTATCCTTAAGCCCCTCATATTCTATTATTTATCTGGTTGAAAAAAAATTACGTGCATAAATTCTCTCAAACTCGCAATTTTCAAATATTAACTTTAATTGCATGTTCATTGATCTAAGAGACAGTCGTCGGCTCGGCTAAGGATTTTCTGTCTTATTTTCAAAGCAAGTATACATTTTAGTTTTTGGTAATTGAAAATTAAGGAAAGAGAAGGTTACCTTCTAATATCTAATTTTGGCTAATTGATCAAAAGCAAACACATTGGTAAAATTATTTTAGCAAAATATTTAAACACATTTTAATTTTAAATTCAATTAAAAATACATTAATCACTATTAAATAAAATAGTAGATATATCTACCGAGAGGATCCTTTCCCCTATTATCCAAATCAAGTTAGGATCAAAACATAATTAATATGTGATCAAAATTTTAAGTAAAATGTTTGATATACAAAGTTGTTTTTTTTTTTTTTTCAAATTCAAATTTTTTTTTTTTTTACTTTATACATAGGACATCGATTCAGCGTTGGAAAAAGAGACTCAAATCGTTTTATCAATATAAGTGTTTTACACTGAAAAAAACATTTTTCACAAAATATTTATTAACATAATAGTAAAAAGAGCATCTTACTGCATCTAAACTTCAAACAGTTTGGCCTTAACAATGTTAATGGTCTCAGATTATTGATTAATAAAGAATCAAAGTTGATGTATCAATGAATCATGAAATACTATGATTCTTAAATATGATTTCTTAATTTATTCAGAAATAATTTGTGTAATCATGCATTCTTTTTTTTTTTTTTCTAATTATAATGAAAAAAAGGTGCAATTAGATGAATCCAACTTGATGATCCATAGTTTTTTGAGTTTTTTTTTATCTAACCATTATACTTTAAAAACTTATTACCCAAATTATTGCACTGTAAAACTTATTCATCAATCTTTTGAACTTTTTTGTCAAGACATTGCCTTGTCATATTTAAACCCTATAATCACTTCTATAGCCCCACTCCTGTATCTTGATTTCACCCTTCCTTTCTATATGTTGCTTCTTTCCTAAAGCCCCACCCCTGTATATCCTCATTTCATTCTTCCTTTCTATGTGTTGCTTCTTTTTCATTGTTATGGTATTGCTTTTTCTTTTTTTTTTTTCCTGAAATTTCTTCAAGAACCATCATATATCATTCAAAAAATATTATATATCAATGTGTGTGAAAAGCAATGAGTATATTTATTAATTATTTTTGTACAAATATAAAATATTAAATTTACTTTGAGAAATGACCAAAAACTTTTACTTTGAGGAAAAAATTAATGGATGTTTTGTAACTATGGAGTAGAGATTAGGGTTCTAAGAAATCTTGTTACTATTATTGGTGAAATTTGCAAACTTACCATCTTTTGCAGACTTAACTTCCAAAACCATGTCCTCAAAAAATATATATATATATTTTTTCAATGAGAGATTCTTTAGCGATTCTTCCAAGCTTTCCTTAATTCATCAGCCCTCATTCATAGCAATTGAGCAAAACCCTCAATGAATTCACCATGTAAATTAAAACAGAAAAAAGAGATTGAGGGTCTAAGAGGATAGGATAAGAAAGCAACTATGGTAAACTTAAATTGGTTTTCTTCATTTATCATGTTTGAAGACCAAAAGAAAAGAGAAATAAACTTTAAAAAAAAATAAAAGAAAAAAGTGTAGTACAATAAGAGAAAAATGGACAACAGGAAAAAGAGAGTTAACAAAATGAATAGGATGACATGACAACTAGTATTGAAATTAGAAAATTAGTTTAAAAGTATAATAATTTGGGAAATCAATTATCATCGCGAATGGTGTTTATGAGAAAATTTTAAAGGTGTTTATGAATTTTTTTTTTTAAATTTTTTATTTTTCGATTTTTGGGAATATATGAAAAATTTTGAAAAAGTCGTAAAAATTTTCTTTAAAATTTTGTACTTTTTTAGAATGTACATGAACAACCTAATTCAAAAGATAGATTCTTATTGAGAGAGTACCAAGAGAACCAAATAAACAAGAACAATTCTAAATTGCCAAAAAAAAAAAAAAAGACAATTTAGCTTATTAAAAAGAAAGAAAGAGACATCAAAATTAGAGACAAAATGTATATTTTTTCCAAGAAAATGAAAACTTGAAAATCCATCCAAGAATTGTAATCCAATAGCAAAATAAAACCCATTTACCGAGTTCTAGATTTGGCCAACATCGTCAACTTCTATCCCCAAATCATCATCTCTCATTCTCAATCATCTACCAAACTGGCAAACTGCATATATGGTATCTTCATCTTCCGGCCCCAAACCATAGGCTGTTTCCTTTGGATTTTATTTGGCGACCATTGTATAACAATCTCATATGCTCTTAGAATTAAAAAATACGGTCAGCATAATCAAGCAATAGGTTTCCTAGCGGTGTGTTTCGCCCAACCAAATAGCATTGGAAACCATCATTCATTAAACCCTTTACATTCAGAACAATGGGTCTCTCCCCATTTGCCAGAGGCAGCGTGATCAGAGTCGATTGAGTTGCACCCTTGACACTGCGCTCGTCCCATGGAATAACATATATGATATCTCCATCTTCCATCAGCAGAGCATCGGCTGTGAAGGCAGGGATCATAGGGGAACCATCATAAAAAAATCTTACTGAGTTGAACGTAACGCTAATGCGTTTGGTGTAATCAAGCATTAGATAATGTAGCCGTGTGTTTCGGCTCATCCAATAACAAAATTTATGAGTTTCGTTTTCACCCTGCACCTTCAAAACAATACGCTTTTCTTCTTTAACCTGATCATCATGGCGAACGATTAGAATCGATTTGGTTGCTGCTGCTGCGCTGCCTCATCCATTTTCCCTTTGCCAACTGACTCTATGTGACTTGATAGAATTTGCCAATTCAAATTGAATTTTAAACAACTTTTATCAGCGAAGAATTTTTTAATTGATAAATGTTTGGTACACTTTTTTTTAGCAAATTTCTTTTTTTCCTACTTGGATAAATAAAACGATCATTTATCCAAAAAAAAAAATTGCAATTTTCTATGCCTTTTGCCTATGAAGAAGAAACTTTATATAGCATTCAATTGCCAGAAAAGTAAATAAAAATAGCAATCCAGTTGCAAAAGTGTCTCTTTGGGAGCTGAAAAACTTGAAATTAATAGGATAATTAGTACTAGCATGCTTTGGAAACATATATACACGCATTGGCTCCTTCAAGGTGATTAATGAATTAAGGGTTCACTCCCCTTCTCAATCCTACATCCAAATAAACAAACAACAATGCATGCGCACAGGCTTTCCAATTCACTCTCTTAATTTTTGGATTTATATAAATATAAATCTTAATTTATGACTTTTTTAAACGCTTGAATTTGAAGTTAAGGGTTAGGTGGTGAAAATTGTAATAATTAAGCAAATAATTTTTTTAACAAAAAAATCGTAATTTCAAAATAGAAAAAAATTATAAGTATTGAGATTTAATTATCAGATTTTTCTGTAATAAAGTAAATCTCTTTAATAATCAAATTATTTATTAGATTTAATTGGATCAGATTTTTTATAAGATTTTTGATCTTTGGATCTTGCTTGAGACATTATTTAATGAATAAAAAAGCTTTTTATTTAATTTTAATTGTAAAATATCTTTAAATTTAATTAAATGAATATATATTAATATTTTAATAATTTTAAATTATTAAAATGTATATTTTAAAATTTTTGAACCTATTGGATTCATCAGGTAATTGGGTCATGCCGGGCCTTGTATAAGGGTTTCCAAAGGCCAAAAGGGCCAGGCAACAACTAATATTGCTATAACAAATTTTCTTTTTTATTGATTATATTGATTGTGTCCATAATTCTTATCAACTCAATAACAATTGATAATTATCAATTCTTATCTTTTTTTTTTTTTGGCCAACAATTCTTATCAATTCAATGAAATTTTATTTTAACTTTTTGTTTCTATTTTTGATGGTTTTTGGGGCTTATGTTGTTTTTATAATTGAACTATTGTATTCTTATACAAAAGAAATTATTTTTATATGGTCAATGAACTTTTTAAAAATCATCTTCCATTGTCCATGAATAAAAAAAAAAAAAACTTATTTTCCAATAATATAATTAATTAGTATCGTATACATAAACTAATAAACTAATAATGGACTAAAATTAATCAAATCAATAATTTAAAATAGTAAAAATTACACAACCCATAACAAATTAATACTATGAGCTTAAAAAAATAAGTAAAAAAGAGTAGAAAATTTTTTTATATAAATATCATATGCACAATATGCATATTACATAGCAATTGAATTTTTAATTATATTTTATCAATATGCAAAAAAAATGTTTTGACTCAATTTCCAAATAAGAAAGAAGTAAAAACCAAAGTTGTTAAAGTGTCTCTTTGGAAGTTGATATAATCAGTAGGAAAAAAATGGAAACATATATTTAAATGCATGCATTTGCTCCTTCAATTTGACTATTGTAACTTGCTAAAAATGCATGTATTGAATTATATAGTGTCAAAATCTAAAATAAAAAATAAAAAAAAACATTTACATAAAATTTATTTAAAAAAAAATAGATGCATCATTTAAACCAAACCCATATTTACTCTTTTATTAGTTTATAGTACTTTTCATTTTGCATAACTTGGCCACATGCATTGTCATCTAGTGTTGTTTTAGAAATCTATCCGTTTTTATGTAATTCTCATGTTATTATAATAAAAATGAGGCTCCATTTATTTCTTATAAATTAATTTTTAGAAAATATTTTTTGGATGAATTAGTAAAAAATATTTTTATTATTTGTTTATTTTTTGAAAAATCTATTTATTTTTTAAATAATATTAATATAATTACTA